AACAACACTTCTCAGATCTTTTTCTGCCATCTTCAGATTTGGTTTCTTTTCCCCTCCCCCCACTTGGGTTATTTTTGTTTTGCCTCTTATATCCCAGCTTATATGGAGTGTCCTCCCCTTTCTGCAACAATTCCCTTCATCCTCATTTTTTGAGGTGTCTTAAAATTGTATTCCAATTCTCCTGTACCTTAGAGAAGCCCTGTCTAATTTAGTCCCACTTGCAGATTGGATTAGAATATTCTTGACTCCATTATCTCAGATCACCCATAATGATATTACATAGAAAGATCCTCAGCCTTGAGGCTGTTTGATATTCGTGCCCTCCTCTGTTTCTGATTTTTGCTTCTCAAGTCAAACCATAACAAAATCAGGATCATTACAGGCAGGCTGGTATGATGTTGAGAGGATCAAGGCTTTCCTGAAATAAAGTGATATTGCTTTTATCACATCACTTTGAGAACGATTCATTGGGCTGTATGTCCAGCTCTGCTTTTCGGGAGATGGAGGGAATCAGAAGACAGGGTTCATGCTGGAACAGCAAATATATATCTTACCCCTTCCGCTTGTCTGCAAACATTGTGGGGAAGGGCTAGCTCCTCTGCACCCTCAGGGCTTGGCCTGGAGTTGGTATCTAATGAGGGTGAGAGAATGGGGAGCTGTGGGTATGATGTGGGAGGATAGGAACACCTCCTACCTGCTGTGGTTCACTCATCCCCAGAACTCAGCAGCTGGGATTGGGGGAGGACAGATGAAGCTGAATCAGATATTACTCCTAAAAGGCCTATAGGAGCATTTTACCTAAGCCCTTCTCAGCAGGCTTCCGAGTCCCTGCTGTCAGGAGCTGAGAGTGACCATGTCTGACTGCTCTTGGCTCAAAGATGAAAGGGTCTCATCCATTTCTCTGCATCTAACTATACCCTAAATCCCCTGTTTCAGTCTTTTCTAGTATTAAAGGGCACCCGCATATCCCTGTTCTATTATCTTCCCTGAAACACCCTTCTTTCAAGGTCTGGCCATTGGCCGCTTGAGAGAGGATGGAGAAAAGGCCAAGTCACAGGTGCCACTACTAAGTACTGAGTGGGAACGGCTTGGCCTGGTGAGTTCAGACCTCAGTCTGCCATCCCAGGAGAGGTGGCTACTGGTACTTAGTCATCTCAGGATGGGACACCCTCCCAGGAAAGCTGGAGGAACTTGTAGGATTCCAGACCACCGGCCTTACCCTCAGAAGAGCTGACAGGCCAGGCTCCATGCTAAGAAGCATGCCTCTTCCCTGCAGTGTCCTGTGCATCCCCCTCGGAAGGCCTGTCCCTGCACAGACATGCCTGCCTTCCTGTTATAACCATAATGACAATAAAGCATTCTGTGAACCCAAGTTGCTGTGGAAATCGGGGGAGGGGGAAAAGACACATACTCTCATTATTATGCTCATTATATTCCTATCAGAATACTCACCCATGGAGCATTATTTTTAAAGTTACTCCTGGTCTTGGGTTTGGGAAAGGAAGAGATCATTTAAAAGCACTTTCTCAGGCCGGGTGCAGTGGCTCACACCTGTAGTCCCAGCACTTGGGGTAGATGCATCACTTGAAGTTAGGACTTTGAAACCAGCCTGACCAACATGGTGAAACCCTGTCTCTACTAAAAATACAAAAATTAGCCAGACATGGTGGTACACACCTGTAATACAAGCTACTCGGGAGGCTGAGGCACAAGAATTGTTTGAACCAGGGAGACAGAGGTTGCAGTGAGCCAAGATCG